CAGTCAGTCAGTCAGTCAGTCAGTCAATCAATCCAAAAGTAATGCATAAATACATCTATTTAATGTTTCAAAAAAAAAAAAAAAAAAAAAACTCGGATTAATGCATTTACAAAGTCTGGTCCTTTCCACTCCCAGTAGGAGCGCAGTGCCAGCAGCAATATGACTTGTTGGTCTCCGTATCCAACTGAGGTGGCTAGTCCAGCAGTCACCCAGACTATCGATTTAATTAAATCCGTACTGCCCACCACGTGGGGATAAGTGTTTGGATTCTTCTAGGTCCCCTTCGAGTTTTAGGTAGGGGGAGAAGAAGACAAGCCAATGATGAGATCTTATAAACTAAGGCAGATGTTGAGCGCACAGCCAGCATAATCTTAGGTATTTTAACAGTCAGGGGTTTGAGCCCACGACCTTCCGCTCAGCAGTCCGGTGCTAAATTTAGAGGTGACTCTTTCCAGACGGTTATTGCAGAGCAGAAAATCGAAAATTAATGAAGTGCGCTGGATATTTAAAATAACTTCGTTTTTCTTCGAAAAAGTTTTTTTTTCTTCATGTAATTCTTATTATGTTCAAGATTACCGTGACGAAAGTTAGAATCGACATAAATAAATAAATAAATAATAAATGTTATTTAACCAGGGTGACCTCTTCAGCAAAAAGCTGATATCAATAAGGGCCCTGCAAAGGTAAAAGAACTTTAAAAAGCCTAAATACAGCAACTAAATTTAACAGTAATTTAGAAGTTTGTGATCTATAGAATTCTAAAATACAGGTTTTAAAAATCATGATCGAATTAAGATCCTTCATTTCGTTTGGAATATCATTAAAAAGTTTTGATCCTTTAAAATAACAAGACTTCCTTGCAGTCTCAGTTCTCACTTTGGGTAGCATTAAGTTCTTCCCCCTTCCACTCGTGTTGTGCATAGTTCTAAAAACCTCAAAATAATCCTTAAAAAACATTGGAGGGATCTCCTTAAGCATTTAAAGGTTAAATGAATAGTATGCATGTCACGCCTCATAGACAAGGCCGAAGGGAAGCCATTTTAAATTCTTCTCGGCGTCTAAATCTTTGGTCTTCAAGACAATCTTTGCCGCTCTTCTGATCTCTGTGCACGATCTAACCTATCACGTTCTATTTTCCCAATGCTGCTCCATGCAACATCGCGATAATCCATGACTGGAAGAACAAGAGACTGATAAGCCTTGTTGGCTGAGTTAAAAGTTAGATTGTTTCTAATTCTTCCGAGGACATCGATTCTCTTGGAAATCTTGACCAGTAGTTTATCCACGTGTAGTTTAACATTAAGATTTGCATCTATTTGCACACCAAGCTATTTATAATGTTGTGCTTGACATCGCACAGAGCAGTGCCATACAAACCAGTATATGGAATGTATGGACGAGGACTGCAGTGAATCAGAACAAGCCACCACTCATGAAAAATTGACTAGGGGTTTCCACTGTAGTTATTTTATAGCTTTAAAAAGTTTTGAGAAAGGACTAAGTGATGCTTATGAAAGTCTAACGATCTGTAGCAACCATGTGTTATCCGGATGAAGCATCAGTTCAGGGTGAAAGGTCACCTTCTTGGAAAAACAAAGCGTCCGAGAACAATTGCAATATGCGTCATGTTGAAGTTTTCAGAAGTTTCCAGAGATCATTCTTTGTGAATCGACTGACTTGATCAAAATGAAAATTTCATCCAGTGGCCGAGACTGAACTGAAAATAGCCTTCAACAATTGCAGTTGTTAAAAAGCGGTCACTGAACAAATCAAATCAGGAAGTTCATAAGAGGGTTACTAATTTATTCGGAAAGCTGCAGTTCAGCACAGGGTACGAACACGCCACACCAAGTACTAACGGACCGTAACAACACGATGCGGACTGTCAGGGTTGTGTTTCTGCTGTTTGCTGTTTTACAAGGTAAGGTGGTTACCCGACATGATTCCGTCTTCTCCGGTGTCGTTGACGCTTTCACTTGTGAACGGACTCTTTCCCTGAATGTTATTTTAAAAAGTTCGAAGTTTAATAAGACTGCCGTATACAGAACACCTTAAACAGTGCCGCGAAGACACAAAAATGGCTAGACGCACATATGTCTTGTGGAAAATATGCTCTCAGTCAGTAAACAGATGCACTAAGGTCTATTGATTGTTGAACACCACTGTCTAGACTGATCAGAACAGGCACACTTATAACTTCACAGATAATGTATCGGACAAACTGATGCAAGCGTAATATAGGGAAAATAGTCAGTCAGTCAATCAATCCAAAAGTAATGCATAAATACATCTATTTAATGTTTCAAAAAAAAAAAAAAAAAAAAAACTCGGATTAATGCATTTACAAAGTCTGGTCCTTTCCACTCCCAGTAGGAGCGCAGTGCCAGCAGCAATATGACTTGTTGGTCTCCGTATCCAACTGAGGTGGCTAGTCCAGCAGTCACCCAGACTATCGATTTAATTAAATCCGTACTGCCCACCACGTGGGGATAAGTGTTTGGATTCTTCTAGGTCCCCTTCGAGTTTTAGGTAGGGGGAGAAGAAGACAAGCCAATGATGAGATCTTATAAACTAAGGCAGATGTTGAGCGCACAGCCAGCATAATCTTAGGTATTTTAACAGTCAGGGGTTTGAGCCCACGACCTTCCGCTCAGCAGTCCGGTGCTAAATTTAGAGGTGACTCTTTCCAGACGGTTATTGCAGAGCAGAAAATCGAAAATTAATGAAGTGCGCTGGATATTTAAAATAACTTCGTTTTTCTTCGAAAAAGTTTTTTTTTCTTCATGTAATTCTTATTATGTTCAAGATTACCGTGACGAAAGTTAGAATCGACATAAATAAATAAATAAATAAATAAATAAATAATAAATGTTATTTAACCAGGTTGACCTCTTCAGCAAAAAGCTGATATCAATAAGGGCCCTGCAAAAATAAAAGAACTTTAAAAAGCCTAAATACAGCAACTAAATTTAACAGTAATTTAGAAGCTTGTTATCTATAGAATTCTAAAATACGAGTTTTAGAAATCATGATTGAATTAAGATCCTTCATTTCATTTGGAATATCATTAAAAAGTTTTGATTCATTAAAATAAAAAGACTTCCTTGCAGTCTCAGTTCTCACTTTGGGTAGCATTAAGTTCTTCCTACTTCCACTGCATAGTTCTAAAAGCCTCAAAATAACATTGGAGGGGATCACTTTAAGCATTTAAAGGTTAAATTATATTAATAGTATGCATGTCACACCTCATAGTCAAGGGAAGCCATTTTAAATTCTTCTCGGCGTCTGAATCTTTGGTCTTCACACTGGAAAAGTTGAAAATTTACATGGACATGTCAATTGTAATTTACAGTATGTAAATCTTGATTTACATTCTTTGTCAATTACAATTTACATGTTAGGGTTTTGTAAAATAAAATTACAGGAAATTTACAGCTTTTAGTACAGCATG